ATATATATATATATATATATATATATATATATATACATATATATATGTATATATACATATATATATGTATATATGTATATGTAATATAAAAAAAGAACCGATTGTAAATGTTAAGTTTTCGAGAAAGATTTTTTTCTTTTCTTTTCTTTCGGAACTTGACGTAAAGTATCCAACGTCTCTCGAAAGTCTTCGAAGATCCCATTGTTGCTCGCTTGCTCCGTAGCCAAATTACGTGCTTTGTTTCACTGGGAAAGAAATCTTTTTTTTTTCAATAGTCGCTTTCCGGAATCCACGCCTTCTTTCTGCGTAGTTCCCCTGAATTTAGTCGGCTGGAACTCGATATATTCTTCGAAATGTTTATTACGATACGTAATATCTCATATGTACAGATCACGCATTTTGGTTCATATGATTAAAATGAAGCTTTGCAGGATTCCTATCGAATGTGAAGTATTCGCTTCCCCTCGAACTAAAAGTAACAACGCCCATCTAACTATGTCCCATGTGTATGAATACACAAATTAAAAAGTAACAAAATAAAAAAAGAAAAAGACGTAGCGGCTATGAGCGTGGTTGCCGGAAGGCGATTGGACCATAAATCCTGCGATATTGAAGAACCATTCATCTTAGGTACTTATATATTAAATATTAATAATTATAAATTACAATCATCGTTAATATTAATATTAATCATTATCATTAATATTATTTTTAAATGCATACACAGTTTCAACATCTATTTCCGACAAAAAAAAGGACAGAACAGGTGGAGAAGGGAGGAGATAAACGGGTGAGATAGCGCGGAAAAAATAGGAAAGATACGATGAGCTTAAGAACTATCGAAAAAGTACAAATACGAGTTTACGAAAGAGGCCGTGACAAACAAAACGCGATGAGCGGGAAGAGGAAAGGAGAATACCGTAATCACGAATATGTGTGTATGCGTGTGTGTGTGTGTGTATGCACGCGTGTGTATATGCGTGCACGCGCGCGTGTGTGTGCGTGTAAAAAAAATGACAAGGGGGAGAAAGAGGGTTTAGTCTCGCGGCCCTTTTCTTCAACCCGCGATTCTTTGGGTCCTATTTCAAAGGAACTTTTAGCATGACTCTCGTCGAGAGCACGTGCCTGCCTCGTGCACGAGGACTAGTTGGCGCTGAATCGATAGTGGGAGGAGATATGGGACTCCGCCGAGACGACGGTCGGAGATTGTTATTCTTCTTCTCCTTCTCGCCGGTACCATAATTAAGAATAGTCGGATAGAAGGGGAGGGTGTGGGGGTTAGGGTATAGACCTACGAACTAAACGATTACACATTACATTAAACGTACTTGACACTTTACGCTGGCCCGTCACACACGCGTTCTCAAACTCTCATAGTGTAGTAGCAGACTCGACAAATTCGATATAGGTTTGTCGTCCTTTTTTTCTGTCCCTCTTTCTATTTTTCTGATCCGTCACTCTTCAACTTCCTGACAATCTCTCGACGAACCCATCGACCCAGTGGACCATTCGGAATCATTTAGCAAAGGAGCGATTCTATACAGGGTATCCGGTGTATTTCGTACATCCACTCATGTGCAGATAGAAAACTGATAGAAAATAGACATCATTATGCAAAATTTGCAATAGTTAATAAGGAATTAATTATTCTGTCTGAGCTAATGAACACACGAGAAGCGGTAAGTTGGATATAGAAAGAAAGATTTCTTCGATCGTGCGGGTGACACTTGCGAATCGCTGTTCGCCGCGTTCCTCTGCCCAAAGCTATGAGACATAGCGGAGAAATATAGATTCCGCGGAGGAAAACGCGTGAATGATCGCGTGTCGGTAGAAGACATCATTTTTTTCCATATGTTCAGCCTACCGCTTCTCGCGTATTCATTAGCTCAAACAGAATAATTAATTCCTCGTTAAATATTGCGAATTTTGCATAATGCTGTCTAACTTTTCTATCAATTTAATCCCTTCTATTTACACACGAGCGGATGTACGAAACATACTGGACACCCTGTATATTTATCGTCCACGTTTATTCGTGCGTCTCGTGTCTCGTTTTGATTGGGCCGCGCCTCTCGCTCGTTCTCACGCTCACAGATTTCTCGTTCGTTCTTCTACAACACGCTCGGTCCTCTCGCACTCGCAAAAACGCAGACGCAGGGCGGCCTATGGCAGAGGTCTATACAAAATAAATAACGGTACATCTACGAAATTAATCGAGGGGGATCGTGGTGGTAGTGGTAGTAGTAGTAGTAGTAGTAGTAGTAGTAGAGTAGTAGTAGCGATAGTAGCGATAGTATTATCAATAAGTGCGAAGTCGGCGTATTATTATGGTAAGAAAAGTGGTCGTCTCTCCTTCTCTCGTCGCTTCCTTTCTCCGCTCGGCAGCTTCGTGCTCGTGCACGAGAGCAAAACTCGCGTGACGAGTATGTGCGACTTGGATGCGTGTGACCCGAGCTTCATGGTGGACGATTTACACCTTCCCTCCATCGTTCACTTGCTCGCCTCTTTTTGTGTGCAGGTGTACGCAAATTCGTCGTGAATCTACTAACACCCGATACACGTGTGTGCGTTCGATGTGCGTCGTGTGACTTTGAACGCATCTCATGCGAGACTACCGTAACTGTCAGTTTCCTTTGTTTTCGGATGGCGACGTGCCGCAACACGCACCTGTATGCGATCACCGCGCGTCACGTATACACGCGTCCCGTCCGGTTCACAATTTCGTCTCGGGCGCGCAGAAAAAGGTACTCGCAAACCAACTGCCGGTCCGGCTGTAACGGGGTGCCTCCTCGGCAGTGAGAACGCTCGGATTTGACGCTTGATTGATGGGTGGAAATCTCTCGACGATGTCAACGGTGCAGGATTGTCGTCCGTCCTTCGGACTTTGATCTTTGACTGAGAATATCCCCGTGGGAAAGAAACTAACAAATACAAAAGCACGTGCTCCTCGAAGGTTCGCCAAATATTCTTGAGAAAGAGGAGAAGAAAAAGAAAGTGCGCGTCCAATGTTGCAGAGAGTTGTTACTGTCGGCCTCGTGGCGCCTTGTTCCTCCTTGCGTTTCGCTCTTCGCCAATGTATCCGTGACCTTTTACCGATGGTGATCTTGGTGTGATACGACCGTATGAGCCAATTCTCTCTCTAAAAGCGTTGATACTCATGGTCCTTGTCACCGACTTTACCGCGTCGCCAGGCCAAGTCGACTACGATGCGCCTGCGAGAGTCCCTTTTACCACCACAACCCAAAACATTCCTGAAATCGCTGCTGCCACCACTGTCGTGGGTCTTCATCAGGTTGTAGTTATTGTTGTTGCTACTGCTGTCGCTGCTGCTGCTTATCGGATATTCAAAATTTCTGATCAGCGTCAACTCCGGTGAACCTGGCGGGTTGTAGGTCAGCGTCGTAGCTGCTGGCACGCCGACTTGCTCGGTGGTCAGACGGTGGTACTTGATTTTTATACTGTATGCTGATTGGCTGCATTTGGTTCTGTGAGGAAACGCCCTGGGGTGAGCCCCAAGTTAGTTCCAAATGCGTAGGAAGGAATCCCAGGAGCCTGTCGCTACCGCCATACCATCTTCTGTAACGCCGAGACAAGACACGCGATTGTCATGTCCAGCAAGGATTCCTAAGAGACAGAATCATAACAATCATTTTCCTTCTATATAAATATCATAAAAGCACAATGCTACCTGATATTAAAACATGTTGAAATTGAGTGAACGGAAAGGGAAAAGAAATCATCGTCGAGAGGAGAGCCACGAACGAAATCTCTCTTCTCTCCCGAGGAAGATCGTTCGGAGAGATAACCGTTAAGACCTACCAGCTCGCTCCGTCTTCATGGAATCCCAGACATTGCAGTTGAAGTCATCATAGCCCGCCAGCAATAATCTACCGCTTTTGCTGAAAGCTACACTGGTGATACCGCAAATGATATTGTCGTGACTGTACATTGCAAGTTCCTGGTCCGCCCTAATATCGAAGAGTCTGCAAGTAGCGTCGTCCGAGCCCGTCGCGAAAGCGTATCCGTTCGGGAAAAACTATGGAAGAATACCGTTAAATGACACTTTCTCATAGGGAATACATTACGGAACGAACTTAAATAATGACATTGGCAATGACAGTGACACAATGACGAGGTAACGGCGGCGCAAAGTAACAACTTGTTTTTTATTTGATAAATTTGCGAGCAGATGTCTTACCGTGACGGCGTTTATGTCACTCTCGTGACCCGGGAACGTCTGCTTGCAGGATCCCTCGCGAATATCCCACAGTTTTGCGCTGGCATCGCACGCACCGGACACGAAGGTACGCGTGTCCGGCGCCAGAGACAAAGACATCACATCGCCGGTGTGCCCGATGAAAGATGTGCACTGTTGTCCAGTCTCAATGTCCCATAGAGCACTGAGTCAGTACAATTTAGAGTTCATCATGTAGTATGAGGTATTAGATAGCAGTCTTCGAAGGTCATATTTATTCGATGGAAGAAATCTGGGATGAGGAGGTACAAAGGGACGAGGTTTTTAACGTACTTTTACATATTTTTATCATCAAATTATATTTCTACTATAAATTTCTGTATATTATTATTATTAGTCATTCTTTCATTTATTAATTCTTTATACGCATAAAAAGCATTCGAAAATAAACATACACTTGCAATCTCTTCTTTTCAATTAGAAGAAAATGGAAGAGGAAAATTCATAGTTGTCTATAAAATATAAAGGAAATTCTTTACAGCTGCTTTAGAAGGCAAGCGTTGAAGTAATACGTACCAGGACATGTCACCGGAGCTCGTAACAATTTGGTTGTCATCGTAAAATCTGCAGCAGGATAAGTAGCCGGTGTGACCTGGCAGTTCCCTGCTCACCCGCACATTACCTTCCCTAGTTTTAAGGCTATAGATGGAACAAATATTGTCCAGCCCACCGCACGCTACGTAACTACCCGAGGGCGCGTACGCACAAGTCATTACCCATGACGACCGTAATGGGATCGCGTGAACCTTATTGGTGGTATAACTGTCCCAGACAATCAGTTTGCCATCTTGCGATGCGGAGACTAGATTCCTATACAGGAGAAACGACAACATTTTGACGAAAATTCAGTTTGTGTGGAGAAGCAAAAAGATTTGTTTTCTCTCTATTCTGATACCGTTTCATAACTCGAAAATATCAAAGCTTTGTAAATTCTAAAAGATATATCCATTTGAGTCATAAAACATCTGTACTATGTCGCATCTGTGAATCCTGCTACCACGGAAATCGCTAGTGAGATCTCGAATTTATGCTAAGACGTCAATATTTGCGGATACTGGCGTCTGATGTCATACCTGGAGTCACTTCCCCAGTGCATCGCATAAATCTTAGCTAAGTGACCGCGAAGCGTACGTCTCGTACGCATTTGTATGCGACCGATAGGTTCCATGCCCGACGTGGCCTGGACCAAGGTCGTGTCGCATGCTGCTTTCCTAGCATCCTGCGGAATGAAATAGACGCATATTTCTTAATTATGCATACGATCCTTAATGTGCATCGCGATGCGATAGCGCGATAAGAAAGAGATCCATCGTATTGTATATAATCGTTCGTTCTCATTGCCGTTGGTCGTGTAGAACATCGGGAGAAGTCTTATCTACACTGTCGTGTATTCAGCGATAATTGAAGCTGCAAGATTTCGCGCGTCACTTTAAAGTAACATTCTAAAGATGCGCGTCGGTAGTAAATGCGCGCGTCGTCGTGAAAATTCAATAAATTTCACGCGAAAATTTCGTTTAATATCACGTTCAGGCATAGATGTTATATAAGGATCAAAAGACGCTCAAGACCGAGAACGATGCTAAAATAAACAGAACGCTGGAGATTCCCATGAATTTGAAGGGGAAAAGAGGAAGGTTTAGGACAAAGAGGATAAAGATTCCTGTAAATTGTCGACGATACTCGCGTGTCCTTTATTAATCCGCAATTTTACTTTCGAGTTGAAGATCAGATCATAACGCAGCGGTACTTAAAGTGATCCAATTATATATCTCTTTACGTTAAAGAGGTTGTTACTAAATAATTTCTGAAAGAAAAAAATATATTAAAGTTAAATATAATTAATTTCAATCAGAACTTATCATGTCGGCAATATATATTTCATTTGAAAAGATATGAAATAAATTAATTCGCATTAACAAAAAGTTGCGAAAAACATAAATTCATAGATCAATTAATTATAAAATCTGTATTATATAAGGTTAAACATAAACACATTTTATCATTTATAGTATATGTATTTGTTATTACAACGCATATTGGAAATTTTATTTGATAAACAACAATACAAAACGAAAGAAAGAGAAAAAGAGAGAGGCGCACGCGTGATGAACAATTAGCAAACAAGGCCGATAGCGTGTTCCTTTTATCGCAAGTACATATTTCTGCGCATATTGTACGAGCGCGTACATTTTATATACGTACAAGGGAGGAGGAGGAGGGCAGAGAAGAAAGAGAGACGAATACATCGAGAGAAGGAACAAGACATGGAGTGTGAGAGAGAGGGATGGTGGCGTATTGATCAGAGAAGCAACGGTTATGCCGCGCCCTACCACCACCACACTACCACCACCACCACTCCATATCCTCACAACTGTACAGAAAGCTATTCGCCATAGACGAGGATCTCTCATCGGCAAAAATGTACAATTTACCTGCTCTAGCATCGGAAACGGAGAAAGCCGGGAGAGAACGAGTGTAGGATAACAAGAACCGGCGCAAGAAGACAATAAATTGAACAGATTTTATAAAGAGAGGGCAGATAAAATATCGCGTCTAAGAAAAGTTTATTGTATTAAAGATTGCAAGCACGAGTTAACGTGTTGCTTCACCGCGTTTTCAATGGATCTGCTTCATACCCGTATCACAGTTCGTCGCAAGAGATCTAAGAAATTGTTTTCTTTAGCAAATGTGTAATCAGAGGTGATACAACAAAATAGACAAACGTAAAGATCTCGATATTTTAATTAAAAACAAAGTGTCTTTGAGAGAGAAAATTCGATGAAAATAGTTGAGCTCTTCCACATGACTACTCACACCAAGCATTTTAAGTGTACAGACCTCTCGACGGATTTTAAGATGCGAGAGAAAAACAATAATCTCGAAACAGGCGAATGGGTACTTACCCGAATGGCATTCTTCAGCGTCTCCGACTCCTGACGAAGGCTGTCAAGCTCGTTCATGGTGTCTGGCTGATGACGCGCGAGGCTTACGAGCACCCGTTAGTGGAGCCGAGGTACTGGTGTGTCGCGCGCGACGGCAGAAGGGGAGGATGACAGGGCGCTGTCTCCTCTCGTCGGGAGGGCTCAGAATGTAATTTCTACGATGATGACGGATGGGTGGTTCTTATCTACGACGCCTTCTTGCGCGAGGAAGTTGATCGCAGGACTGATGTCACGCCGTCGACAGTACTTCCGGTGGCCGACGGAGTTTACCACCCCCGTGCAAGGGTGGAACGGAACGAAAAAGAGGTAGAAGAGGATAAAGATGAGGATGAAGATCGCGTCTCTTCCTACCGAAGTCGCGGCTTCCACCAGCCTCTCCCGGCCCCACTTCCTCGTCGCCTCCTCCTGCTATCGCTACTGCCGCGGCTTCCGCTTCCGCCGCTACCACCGGAACCAGAGCCAGACCACCGTTGACTCCGCCGTCCCACGCGCCAGCTTCGACACTCTCCGACGAGACCGTTGCCACCCCTGAAATTCGAAGTACCAGATTGGTCAGTCACGACCAATAAGTATTAGTAACAGCTTAACCTACACATGTTATCTCAACCCCGATAAGCATAAGTAGAACCTAAACCGTTACGCGATAAACATGTCTTTTCATGGTATCGTTTCCGATAAAATTCATCAAGTAGATGTTTGGTTTTTTCTTTCACGTCGAACGACGGCGAATAAAATAATCATCGAGTGCTGATGCCGATTCACCGTGATAATTCAATGGACACAAAGAGTCAATTGTCGGGCACTCGCGAAGATCTATCGCTCCGTTGAGAAAGAAATCACGAAGGTGTTAAATTTTCGGATCTTATCTAACGTGTACGAGAGAGATACACCGCGGGTGTTGAACGGGACGTCTCTCACGCGAGCGTCGCGTGAGGTTTTGCTGCGGCAGGAGGAAAAGCAGCCGACGGCATACCGAAAGCGAACCTACGTCATCCGGAGAATTACCGCAGCTCCTTAATGACTGTAATAGATAATTGCGTCGATTTTGCACGCGGCACACAGTACGCTCTTGTGCACACAACGTCGTGGAAATCTACATGCCCCTAAGGGAAATGCGAGAAGCATCGGAGAAGTGTAAGAAACATCGACAGATGCTGCTAAATATTTATATCTCGATAATGACAAATGAGAGAATATCTCCATCTAACTTAAACACGCGCATTCGTTTGGCTCGTCCGGCTTGATACTAATTGGCACGTGTGCCGCTCTCGAGCGTAACGCGCCAATGCAAATAAATAGTTATTTCCAGACGTGCGTTAATTCGTATCGTCCGTGTATGAAAATAAAAAAAGAACGAAAAAAAAAACAAGGGGAGGAAAAACAAGGAACACTTCGGTTTCGGCGAACTAGTTTTCGCGAGAATGACACGAGTGTCCATAAAGTAAACGATTGCAGCGCGCGCTTACTTTAATATCACTATGTGTGGAGGAACGTTATTTTAATTAATGCATCAGTATATATTATTATCGATACACAGGATGGAAGACTTATCTACGTTGATGTACGCTAACGAAACATTCACAAGTGCTCGGCGTTTTGATCGAAATAATATCTAGTAGTTTCGTTCTCAGCTAATCGCAATTCCTCTGTTATCACACAGGCACATACATACGCACGTCGGTACATAAAAAAAAAAAACAAAATATAATTATCGGCTGGCTAAAAATATTTTGGCCGCACCGCGTGCGCAGATATTTTTATCGCGGCCTCCCCGTCCCGAGTTTTCGCGACGAGATTCATGTTCTCGCCGGCACATACTTTTCCTCGGGGAAAACGTCAAACGCGCAACGTGTATCACCGCCGCGAGGACGAACGATCGTTCGACGCCGGTGTAACTAGTTATTGCAATGTAATATTGATGCTCGGAAAACCAATAATTGACTGAAAAGTACTGACACGTTCGCCATTTCCATTCAAGATAAGTTACCGATTTTTGCCTGGTGTTTTTGTCGGAATATAACTTTTTCGCCATCGTCGGGAGAATAGTAATGTAATATTGATATTTGAAAAATACACTGGCAATAGAATCGCGCAGAACATAACGGTATTCGTCTTTGTTTAGAGGAAATCTCCATGTCTGGAAGGTTTTATCGAGCTGTTGTCCCATCTATATTAAAACTTCTTATCAACACTTCAAATGATCATCTTAATTACGTGAAGTTCCATAACATATAGGTCGGATCGCGTGTCGTTACGCCTGACATCGATTCTATTCGAAAGTTTACTCGAACGGCAATTAATGATCAATGATGTTGCGCTACGGGTCGCAAGCGTAGAAAGGTGGAGATATTATATAATAAATACCGGATATTCTTCTCGCATCCACGTGGACCGAGAAAATAGACGGTAAAACGATAATTTAATTCTCTTCCACCTTATACTTTTATCTCAACGATGCCTTTCTGGATGTGTATTGTTCGAATTTTATCGATATTGGAGATTTCGGTCTTCCCTATCGGGAGCAAGATATTATAAATATTCGCGAATACTGTGCAACCTTGGACCCAAGAGCTGTTTCTCCGTCTCTGCCACGCTATGCAAACCGGCATAACCGATCGCGTTCAAATAGTCACAGGCACGGGCATTCGATGCGCGTCCTTCACCTCCGCGGGATCTTGCGACCCGGGGAAACCGAGGGTTGTCGATCCAACGCGAGGTGTTCTCATTTTCCAGAGCCGACGAGAGCCAAGTCCGGCGCACGCGCAAATGCGAGTGGAAAGCAGCCGCTTTTCTAACTTTGCATCGCCTAACGCGAATTATTTGGATCTAACCACGTTGATCCAAACGCACTAAATGAAGATTTTTACATTGACTATGCTGTCTGTGGAATAAGTCCTCTATTGTTCGCACACGTGTTGTCCGTGAGAAAAAAAGAAGAGAAATTCTAGTAAACAGCCCGGAGTGGCAGAGGAGGATCGTGGGAAGTATTTCCAGGATGTCATAAGTTCTTGTAGGTAGAAGAAATAACAGTGGATGACTGCGAATCAGATCATCCAATGGAAATTAACATTCCTTGTTGAGCTCGATAATTATAAGCCGTCGTACGGAGAAGGTGGCTTCGATCAAAACTCCAATTAAAGAAGAAAGATAATATACGCTTATATACGCGTCTTTTAAAAAATACATACGTAGATAAAGAGAACGGGGTCAATTGATGACACCGAAAACCGATATCGAGCATGCCACTTTCGTGTAACCTTGCGAAAGAACCAGAATATCACTCACGGTTATAAACTTGTGCTTTCTACGTTCTCTCCTCTTTCACCGGAGCAGAACATTCATTTATACTCGGGAGCGGAGAAGCAGAGAACGTGCATGTCGGCTAGGATGTGATTTCGCCGTTAGAACTGCATTGCACTCGATGCTACGTGAATATTATCGGCGAATGATGGATATTCACTGTGTACATCGGTCTCTGCCAAGTTACGACGAAGACCGGGGAGGATCATGTTGCTCGTGTTCTTCGAATCTCTTATTTTCACGGCTGCAACGAGAAAGAACCGCTGTCGACCATTACGTTCTCGAGAGAGAGAGAGAGAGAGAGAGAGAGAGAGAGAAAGAGCAAATGTGGTGTCGAAGCCGCATTTATATACGAGAGCATCATCGTCGAATGACTGATAACGATCGCCGCGTACGGCGGTCCCTGCCAAATCGCGGGATCAAGATTTCGCGCGTTATCGATAACGGGAAAGCTATTGACAAGAGAAGAGAACGCGAGCGACGTCACGTAGTATCACTCTTCCGCTTTTTCCTGCGGCGGACGCCATTGTCTCGCTAATAATCGAGAATCTCTCTCTCTCTCTCGGTGGCTTCGATCAGCGGTAGAGAATGAGAGAGGGAGGGAAGCGGGGGAGAACAAAAAAGAGGCGACGTCCTCGCCTACGAGGGCGCCGAGGCGGAAGCAGAGGCTCACACGCATCGATGGAACTCACTCGCTCCGTCCCACCGTCACCACCACCACCGTCGTCGCTGCTGTCAGAGCGTCATCGAGCCCGTGGCGGCATAACCTCTCCTCGTAGGGCCGGCACCGGGTCGAAGAGGACGTGCAGCCCTGTCAGAAGTGCCGCTCGTCACCGCCACGTTGTGCCTGTCAACGCGCGAATCGCGCAACGGAGTACGCACTTTTCCACCGGCGTAGAAGCGCCGAAGAAGTTCCGGGGGAGTTTGTCAGCGCCGCTGCGAGCCAACTGGAGGAACTGACTCCACGATCACGACTGCCTCCAATTCTATTTCTAGTTCCACTTCCAGTTACAAGCCACTCAGTCCGTTTCTCTGCCAGATACCCGCTATAATCGCCAGTACCACTCGGTACCGTGGCTCCCGATACGGAGAGGTTCTACACGCACCGTACGGGATGCACGGACGAGACGCGGTGCTTGTCGGCGCGGACTTGCTTTTTCTGCCGCGGTTCGCACAACCGTGGTAGCGCGAGACGAATCGATGAACGTCGTCGTGCGGTCCGCCCCACTCGTTTGCTCCGTCACTCTCTTTCTCTTTCTCCCTCCCTCTCTTGCGCTCTTTCAGTACACCCTTTGCACGTTCGGCTCGCTCGTTCGCTCGCTCGCACTCCGCAAGAATCCGCACGCGTCTCTCGCGGAACCGGCCGTCGAACGTGGCGAGACCGACGTCAGGATGAGGGAGCCGAGACGGCACAGAACGCGCGCTCCGCACTCTACGACGAGAGACGTTTCGATCTCGAACCACACCCAAGGAAGGACGTGGTGGTTTCGAGAGAGGGCCGGCCGGGAGGACGAGCCGCAGGAGAGGTGGAAGAGACGACGCTGGCGCCACGGCGCCCGTATACCGACCGTCCGACCACCCGGTATCGAGAGGACGCCGTCGTCGCTCTCGATGACAGGTTGCTGCTCCGACTAATGTCGTTAATGATGCTGATGATGATGATTGGCCGTGCTGTTAGTTGCAGGAGCTGAGTAAACCGAGAACCATTCGCCAGCGAAGGGAACTTGGAGCAAATTATCGCAATGTGTGTGTTACGTCGGGAAAGAAGACGGTCGTTATGAATATGCGGAATTCCCAGGTCCGATTACGTCGTCTATACAAATAATAAAAATTGAACGAATGTTAAATATGAAACGCAGTCTCCCCGAGTCGGATAACTGACACTGATAACGACCGTGGCGACCGGCGATACTGCGTCATGTGTTGTTGATTAGGGGTGTGATAACGATTGGAGCTTCGATTAGAGACGCGGATTAGCCTTGAATCGGCGTTTGGTCAATCACCGTATCGAGAAGTGAGATTGGTCCAAATCGATACTACCATTCAAAATAGCTCGTCGTATCGTGGCTGACAGATGGCACTTTGCCAGGTCTCGACCGGCAACAGTCAATGCCAGATCAACCCAGGTCTTTGAATGGGGTCTTTAAAGTTCGTTCTCGACGTGGCGAAGAAAGAACTAGAAGAGATCGCTCGAAAGGCTAGGATGCTCGACAACTTTTTCGCCTGTT